CTTCTGCGCCAGGGCAGAGGGCGCTTGCGCAGCGCAAGCATGTCCGCACCTCAGGTGCGGTGTAGTGGCAGGCGTGACAAGGGCTCCCTGCCTCGCTTGGCCAAAACCGGCTCCCATGCCTGTTACAGAGAGGGGGAGATTGACCATCACCAGCGCCAGCTACGGCATTTCATTGGTCGTCTTCGTGAGCTACAGCGACAACGTCAGGCTGGGCACCCTGATATCAGTTTGGAACGGGCTGTTGAACGCACTTGGCCATCGGACATCCCACGTACGTGACCTTTCGGCTGGGGACGTTATCATGATGGCGGAGGAGGTTCTGGCCCTGGCCAAACGTCGAGCACGGGATGCTCGCCTCTCTGAATGGCGGCGGCGGATGGCCGATTTGGGCAAGCCAGCGTCGCGATGGCTGAAGCAGGACATCTGCTCTACGCCGGCTTCACTAGTTGGGCCCTTGGCGATCAAAGCAGCTTTGAAGGCCGTTCTGTTGCCGAGAACTTGGAGATTATCACAACTTTCTGGCGACGGATATGGCACAGGCAGGATGTCTGTGAAGAGCTGCAGCGTGTGCGTGAGGGGCGCCTGTCCTGCCCCAGCGGTCCTAGGCTTCCGGACCTTCGCCTTACGGGTGAGGAGCTTCTTGCAGCTGCTCGCAAGAAGGCGGGAGGGGCCTCAGGGGCCTGTGGCTGGAGCGGCGATGAAGTCGCCAACTGGCCGCTTGTTCTGTGGCAAGCTCTGGCCGGGCTGCTGAGGCGCTGGAATGAGAGGGGCTCCTATCCTGAGGTGTGGCAACACTACCGTCAGGTGACCCTTGCCAAACGTGAACCGAAGGACGGCAAACTGGCCGTTAAGGATACTCGCCCGATCTCTATACAGAGCTCGGTGTGCCGGACGATAGCCTCAGCACTTGCTAATAAGCCTGCTATACGTGAGTGGTTCAAGCGAGCTATCAGTGCCAGCACGCATGGGGGGGTCCACGGCCGGGGGGTTGCATCTGCCATTTTTGACCTGGCTGATAGCTTCGACCAGCCGCATGCTGTGCTTCTTTCCCTTGACCTCAGGAAAGGTTACGACTTCGCCGACCCCGAGATCAT